CGTCGATCTCCTGATTGTTGACGGCCCGCACCCCCGGCGCCTTGGGCAGCCTCGCCTGCCGCCCACAGGCCATCTTGCACACTGCGCGGCTGGTCCGCTGCCTCGTGTCTGCGCCGTTCTTCGGTCTCACGTTGTTGCCGCTCCTCGGTCTCATGCTGTCGCTGCGCCTCAGTCTCACGTTGTCGCCGCGCCTCGGCCTCACGTCGTCGTTGCTCCGCGGTCTCACGCTCTCGCCGCGCCTCCTCGCCGCAACGCCCATGACAAAAATCACCGCAGCTCAGGCAAGGGCCGTCCCCTCTCGCCCGCCCAGATCGACGTCGACGGGTACCACATCGGCCGTGGCAGAACTGCCCGCAACTGCCACACCGCCCGGCCACCACATTTCGCGCAGACCGCCGCAGCGAGCGGTCGCGGCACCTCCTAGTGCCCGTACGGCTCGGTTCGTCGAGTCCGTTAGAGCCATCCACATTACCTCCACCCACACGCGTGTCCTCCTCTTCGCCCATGGCGGCCCTCGTGCCGCCCGCGGTGGCCGCGGGGGCGGCCGAGCCGCTCGGCGTGTCGTTCCATGCATCAAGGATATCCCTGGCGTCGTGGAGGCCCTGGGGAGGGGCCGTGTTTGACGGGTCGAAGCCCTCCCGGGAAGTCATGTCGGCCAGGACCTCGAGCCGGCCTGGTGGGGCTCCCTCAGCAGCAATGAGCTCATCCAGAGACGGTTGAGGGCGAGCCGGGGGGGCAACGCGTGGCGGCCTGGAGTTGGAGGGTTTCGCGCCAGGGTGCAGGGTTTTGTGAAACCTGGCCGGCCACAGTCCCAGATGGCGTTTAGCACCTGAGCAGCTGTCGTCAGCAGATACCATCGCGTCGGTTTCACAAATGGTGGTCCTTCTCGACCTTCGCGGCCTTCGGCAGACAGTCTACTATCAAATCGAGAGCATGGAAATTGGCATGGAAGCTGCTCTCTTCGGAATCTGCATCTACAGCGTTGTGTGGGCAGGCATCGCGACTTTCTTTGACATCCCCTTCCTTCCCACGTGGCTCAAATGGACGCTGGCTACTCCCGGCATCCTCTCTCTGCTGGTTTGCGGCGGTTCGGCGGTCGTTTCGGCGGTGTTGGATTCGGTGGCGACCGTCAGGTGGGTGGGCGAGCTGGAGGATGAGTTTTACGTGAGGGGTGCCTACCTCGGGCCAGTCCTTCGCGCCTACGTCATCCTCTTCGTCGCGGTTCCAGGCGGCATTGGTGCAATGGTCTACTATGGGCTGCAATGGTGCTCAGAATCCCATGAGTGCATCTCCACCGCCGCGGCTATTGTGAAGGGCCTTCTAGCTCTGGGCGTGGTTGTCTTCGTGGTCGTTGCTGAGGTGCGTGGGTATCTGTCTACCATAGCCTGGGACCTCCTATGCGGCCTGCGCGGCCTCCTCGACACAGTCTGTTCAGCCGCCAAAGGGGTGTTTTCTGCGACGAGCCAGCTGGCAGTATGGCTGATGGGTCCTTTCCTGGACTCTATGGCGACGAGGCGGGCAGCGCAACGGGCAGCTGAGCTGGCAGCGGAGGAGCGAGCAGCGGAGCGGGCAGCAGAGCTAATACGGCAGGAAGAGGCGTGCAAGAGGCCTAGGGGCAAGCCCAAACAGCAGCCGAAGACTCCCTCGATCGACACCGCAGCGACGGGTGATGACGGAGGGTCAGAGGTGGCCGCAGACGAGGGTGATGATAGTGACGAGATGCTCCTCAACTCAGCATTCGCCAGTCAGTGTGTCGGTCGGAAGGAGGGCAAGGCTGCAAAGGCCAAGAAGGACAGGCGGCCGGACGTCCCGAGACCTGCAACTTCGTTCCGGCCGTCGTGTAGTCTGCAAGCTCGGAGCCAGCCTACGAGGCCTCCCCGTGCGTCAAAGGTGGAGGTAGTCCCAGCAAGCGGCCCAGCCAACAACCACCGCGCCACACCCAGTCGTCGTCCATCTCACACAGAGCCTGAATCAGCGCGCCCTGCTTTATCCAGCCGTCTGGCACATTCGGCGGTTGAGTCGGTGCCACACGTAGCCGGCCAACAAGCAAACCTGGGCAGCCCTCCGCCCCTGCCCCCTCGCCCAGCCTACCCTCCCCCTCCCCCCACCGCAGCCACTCAACCAAAACCACCTGCTGCATCGGCATCCCCGTGTAGATCAGCGGCCACTCAGCCGGCGCGTCAGCCCGGGTCGGGCAGCGTGCCGCAAGGTCGTGTGAGGAGCGGCCCACCGCCCCTTGTCGAGCCTGTCGGCGTGCCCAGGTGAGAGAGTGCTGCTGATGGTTGAGTTGGGTGGGTGCTTGACATTTGTGTGCCCGTGTGTGTTGGTTCTTTGCAGGACTGTGGGCGGCCGGTCGGTTGAGGACAGGGCGTCTGGCAGCCAGGGTGGCTCACCTACTACTGCGTCTGTCGGGAGTCTATCACAGCATAGCAACGATGGGTAAGAAAATGGAACGGCGCGCCTCTGGTTGTGTCAGTCAGTCTCATCTCTCTCTTCTGTGTGTGTCGTGTGTCAGCGGGGGTGGTGTCAACAGTGAACGACTAGTGCCGCAGGTGCTCCATCGGCTGCCGTGTCGTCGTCAGGAAGGTACACTCACCGACAACACGCAAATGGACACACAAGCGATCGCCGGGTCAAAGACGCACTCTCTCTGTATGTGTCCACCTCACATCAGTGGTCCTTCTGAGGCCGCTTCTGGTGGCGAGGTGGAGCAAATGCGACGGGAGCTCGAGCAAGTCAAGCGGACGTACGGACAACACAGAACAGACCGTCTTTGCCCACTGAAGTGGCGCTCATCGTTTGGCGTGTGTTCTGCGTGTGTGTTGTCTCTTCAGTATAGCCATGATGTCCCAACAGCCCTCCTCATCTGTCGCTGCCACCACGGGCACGTGTCTGGGCTGCTATGGCGAGCACGGACAAGACACGATGATCAAGTTGATGCCCTGCAAGCACATCCCCTACTGTGTGCGGTGCTTCGGCGACTTCAAGAAGACCCACGAGAAGAATGTGGCGAAGGTCCAGGCAGAGAACGGCAAGATGGAGGCAGGGGAGCCGCTCAAGGACCTGCCGGTGTTTGCCTGCCCTTGCTGCCGCAAGTGAGTGACTGAGGGAGGGACAGAACAAGACGGACACAAACTGATAGATATCGATGCTTGACGGTACGCATCTTTCTTGTGTGTGTGCACTGCACAGGCCGATAGAGTTCGCTGGGAGCCGGGAGGAAGTGCGCAAGTGGGTGGAGGACGACTACATGACATGATTTAGGCAGGCACTTCGAAGCGCGACCAGCTCGCAACACTGAGGTCACTTACTTAGACAGATACGAACGAGTGTAGTTAGTGTGCTGAGTAGTGAGTAGTGAGTGTGAAAGAAAGGAGTCGGTCAGGTGAGTGAGTGTGTGGCCAGCAGACAGGCGCACAGGCACACCATACATACTGATGCCTGCCTGCCTGGTTTTTCCCATAGATATGCATTCCATTCCATTCCTTGGTGTACGTGGGTGTTTGGTTTTGTAAGTGCACCTTTCTGTTTCTTTGGGACTGACTGACTGACTGGTGTGCCATGAGACAGATAGACAGACAGACCCACGATGGACGGATGGATGACTCAGAATGTGATTGTTCCGTCAATGGCGATCGGGGGTTTGTTTAATGGTGTTTGTGTGGCAGGCAGGGATTGCAATTGTTTTGGTCTGAATTGCTTTCCGTTGACGAATGAGTGGTGTGCCTGCCTACCTGCTTCTTGCCTCTATGTGTGGATAGCTATATATGTGGGTGTGCGTGGTGTCTCCTTCCTTTGTCGGTCGCTGTGGGGGGTATATGGCTCGACAGAGGAGGAGATGAATGGAATGGATGACTCAGTCAGGGCTGACAGACAGACAGCATAGCGAGAGGGAACACTGACATTACATTGCACCTGACTGACCTGTATATATCTATTTATACGAACGCCACGCGCCCAATTGAATCTGTCCATCTGCCCTGCCAGTCCTGGCTTCGCATACCACACCCGCACACTCACACACACAAATGCACCCACCGTATGTCTGTCTGTGTGCATGGTGTCCGGAGCATCGATCGCATCCATCGTCTGGCGGTCTGTGTCTTCACCACTGTTTTCGTCTCCCCCTCTCGCGACTGGGAAAAAAAGTGTAATGACAACGGTCACCAGTCACAGCAGGTTGCATTGTAAAAAGTGGCTGTCGCCATGGCCGTAAGTAGGCATGCTGGCAGGCTGTTGCCGTCCGATACACCCACACGGAGCGGCAAGTAAGTGGCCCTTGTACAAAAACCGCGAAAGGCGGAAAAACCGCACACACGACTAGAGCTTGTGTTTCTCCCACTCTGCCCACCACCACAAAAACAAGGGTGCCTCTCTGCCCGTCTGACAAACGACGCACAACAGACAGACAGACAGACAGACAGGCTAAGACGCATCGACGGGACAGCACAGACAGACAGGCAGACTTCACTACAGACAGACAAACAAACAAGAATGAAGGACGACCCAAGATGAGCGTTGGTTGGTGTGGATTTGTAATCCAGTTGACCTCACTAGAAACAAACACAGGCCGGGTGGGCGGGCGGGTCAGCACTGACCGCAGCCACACACCACAACCAAACCACGCACACAACACAGTGGACGGACGGACGGATGGACGGAGGAACATTGGGCAAAAAAGCCTCACACACACATACACCCTCGGTCGTTCATGCAGCCAATCGGTGTCCCTGACTAAGTCAGTGGCCGTTGGCCATCACGGGCTCTCCGATGGGCTCGTGTGAGGCGATAGGGAAGGACGCGTTGGGCTTGTCGAACAGCGACAGGAAGTCCTTCAGCACACCGAAGTCGCCCTCCACAGCGAAGTTGCCTCCAGCCAACACCTCTTCTACCTTCTCGGGCTCCCCCTTGCTGCACACAACACAACACAACACAACACACAGCACTTGGGAGGTCGGACACACTCACACACATGCACACACACAGAGAGGTGTACCTCATGAGCATTTGCTGGAAGGCCGCGCGTGTGGCTATAATCTCGATGGGCTCGTCGGTGTCAGTTCCGAGTGTGTGCCCCTCGTTGTGCGCCAGGATCCCGTTCCGCACCGCCGCGGTGTACTTGAGGGGCTGCGGGAAGTCGGTGAAGGTCCACTGGATCGTCAGCGACACGCCGAATGCGCGAGGGCCATTCAGCCAAATGCCGAGAAGGTCAAACACAGTGGGCACATCCATCTGCACACACCACACCCATGCATGAGGCCTGGGGTGTCTTTGTTTGTCTGTTTGATGCATTCAGGTGCGTAAGTTACTTATGTTACTTACAATGTCGAATTTGACGCCTGATGTGGTGGACAGGTCGCCGCCCTTCCGAGCGGCCTCCCCACGCAGCTCCTGAGCCGCGCACAGATAGGCATTCCGCCACCTGCATAGCATACACACACAGTTCACCAGCCAGAGCAACCACACCACACGGACAATAAATCCAAACACACACACGCCAGCCTGCCTCTGTGTGGTGTGATGCTCTCTGTCTGTCGTTGACTGACTGACGTACGTGGCATTCTCTGCCTGGTAGCCCAGCTGTGTGTACGCCTTGGCGGCCAGCTGGCGTGCTGCGGCATGGTGCGGCAATGCCCAGATGACATGATCCAGCACCTGCACCACCCAACGGTAGTTGCCCTGGTCGAAGTCCGCCTGCGCCTTGGCCATGACGGCCTCCACGCCGCCCATGTACTCCAGCATCTTGACGCCGCTCTCTCTGCAATGAATGGGACGCACGCAAACGAAGAGATGTGATGTCTTTCTTGTCGTGTGCAGGTCGATGGTGTGTGAGGTGTACCTACCGTGGCATGAGTGGGTCAAGGTGGCAAGGATTGGCGTCGTACCAACCGAGGTAGAAGGTGTAGATGCCGCGCACGTTGTGCTTGACGCTGCCATAGTAGCCCCTGCAGTACCACTCGCTTGACAGCGAAGGCGGCAACTCTATCAAATTGGCAATTTCGACCTAAATCAATCAGGCACAGAGGGAGGGGAGGCATCCTGCCTGCCTGGGTGCCTGCGTCCGTCCGAGTGTCTAAGTCGCCCACCGGTGTGTAGCCTTGGTTCATGAGCCTGAGCGTCTCGTCGTGCATGTACTTCAAGACGTCGGCCTGCTTGACCAAGCGTAGCAGTACTGGTGATGACGAGGTTGAGTGATTTGAGTGATTTGAGTGTGTGCCTTGATGCAGGTATCAATTCTCACCTGCTTGGTCAGATAGCCATGCACCTCAGCAGCACCGAACACAGGCGCGTTGTGCCCGCCACACAATGTCTCCATCTCTGGGAAGTGCTGCAGAGCCGCGCGAAGGCTCAGAGACCACTGCCGGGAGTTGCGCGTCATCGCACCGCTGAACACACACACACACACACACATAAGGATCTCCGCAGCCGCATCGACGTGCATCTATGCGTGTGTGTAGTCGGCTGCAAGATACATCACACACACACCGGATTGTGTAGACATTCTGCAGCGCGCAGTAGGCGTTGTCGGCCACGAAGAAGACCTTGTCCTCAGGCACGTACAGATGCATGTTGGCCGGGGCCTCGCCAGGCGCAATCTGGAACCACACCTCCAGCCCGTCGATGACGTGCTTCTCAACCCCCTTGATGATGATGGTCGGTGGAATCATCCGCACAGTGCCCGTCTCTGTGGTTTTGCCGAGGGCGCAGTCCACCATACCTGTGGGGTGGCCTCAGTGCATGCACATATTCATGAATCGGTATTCATGAATGAAGCAGCTAACTAACAGCACGGCATGTGATATCGTCGGCCGTGTGACCATACCTGTGGATCCGTGGGGAAGTATGCTGCCGTACATGAACCTGCACACACACGGCATGGCATGGCCGCCGGTGGACTGACTGGACACACAGGGTGGTAGGGTTCCTCCGTACCTACCGTGCTCGTCGGCTCATGGCGGGTCCTGCAAAGATGTTCTCACTCACGGCGTGCTCGACGAACGTGTCGGGGGCATAGATGGGCAGCGACCGGCGCTCGGCCTCAGCCGCACTCACAACGCCCTCAGCACCTGCAGGCACACGACCAAGCACATTCATTCATTGCAGCGAGTATTCATTGCATCATCTGCCTGCCTATGTGCTGTGGTTGTGTATGTCACTCACCTCCGAAGTGGTCTGCGTGTGCGTGTGAATAGACCATGGCCACCACAGGTTTGTCACCCAGATGCTTCCGGACCAACTCCATGTTGTCAGCCGCCTTCTCTGCACTGATGTTGGGGTCGATGATCTGCACACAAGACACGCCAGACAGAAAGCATGCAGCCAATCATCATACAGCTGCATGGCCGTGTGGGTGCGTCCCGCCGCTATGCGTCGTCCTCTCTCTCTCCCCCTCTCCCTCCCTCCCTCCCTCCCTGCTCATTGCATTGCCTCCCTCCCTCACCACATAGCCGGTGTTGGTGATGAGAATGGTCATGTTGCTGAGGGACTGCCCCCGCACCTGGTACACGTGCTCACTCACACGAAACAGCCCGCGCACGCTGTTCTTGCAGGCCTCACGCCACAAAGCTGCAAGCCAAGCCAAGCCATCCATTGCATACATAAGACCACACACGTGTACGTGTAGACACCGACCGCATAGCGTCGCACTCGGACATGCTCACTCACATGGATTGACAGTGGGCGGCACGGCTCCGTCCTTCCACACTTGCTTGTCGAACTCTCGGCTCGTCCAGATCTCCCCCGCCCCGTCAGCAGTCCTCACCGTGCAGTCATCGTTCCGTGCCACAAAGCCCTTGTGCCCGCTCTCGAGATCAGAAGCATCGTGAAAGTTGAGGCCAGACGTGGTGTAGAACGCTGCGTTGGCCTCTTTCGTCGCGGCGGTGGCTGAGTCGACCACACTCATCATCTTCAGAAGAAAGGACAGCTCAAGTGGGGCACTGCAGAAGTGAAAGATCTCTCGCTGAAGAATCACGTGGCTGCTGGAAGCAGTGCCAGGTGCCCTCTTAGGCTGCTCTTTCGTCCTTCTGTTGAGAAATTGAGGTGGCGAGCTTGGTTTGCGAGCTTAGATGCCGAAGAGAAGAGCGCCGAGCAGTGTTGGAGAGATTGAGAGAGATTGCGAAGAACAGGTTAAGCTTTGGCACAGTGGCGTAGATGAGGCTCTTCTGGAGCACACTGCTGATCTCCATCTCCAACTTCAACTTCGGCTTCAACACGGGCGTCATAGCAGGTACCGGAAGAACGCAGGCGCGGGGTCCGTACGCAAACAACAGCTGATGCGGCACAGTGCACATTGTGTTTCCTTCAGGCGTGATCTTACTCATCACGGAGGACTTCCCCCAGCTGGCCTCGCCGCTATGGTCCGGCCTTTTCGCCGGCTCCATCCTGCTGGGCGGCATCACCGGCGCACTGGTGTCGTTCCCCGCCGCCGACCTGATGGGCCGCAGGAAGACGCTCCTGTACACCAACCTGTTCTATTTGGCTGGGCCGGTGCTGTGCAGCGTGACCCCGCCATGCCCGGCAGACGCTAGCACGGCGACATTTGTGGCCCTCCTCGGCATGCTGCTGGTGACGCGATACCTGACGGGCATCGGCGGTGAGCGAGGGAGGGATGGGTAGGTGTGATCATTCACGCGCGGCTGCCTGGCCTGTCGTCCGTTTGGTATAGTTGGAGTCACTTGTGCATTGGCGAATCTGTATGTGTCGGAGATCAGCCCTGCCAAGAAAAGAGGTCAGATGATATGCCCCGTATACATGGCTGGAACAACCAGACACGGACGCCATCAGGCGAATGAATCATCTTCTCTTGTCTGCTGCTGGGTCAGGTGCATTGGGTGGCATCGCTCCGCTGATGGGCACGTTGGGCATAGTCAGCTCCTACATCGCGTGTGCCCTGCTGCCGCTGACGGGCCTCAGCTGGCGATTTGTAGTCCTCGTACCGGTCCTCCCTGCACTGCTGCAGCTCTACTGCAAATCGTAAGCCACAGCTCGTAAGGGAACATAGGATGTGCATGTGTGTCGTGTCCATTTGTCCTCAGCTATCTGTGTGAGTCTCCCCGTTGGCTGCTGATGACCAACCAGCTGCCGCGAGCCATCCAGACGCTCACATGGCTGCTGGCAGAGGAGCCCTCCCTCTCCCCCTCCCCAGCCCCCCCTCGCCCGGCCCCGTCAGCCGCCCCGCCATCGGGCGCTGACCCCTTCCCGCACACCAAGCCGCCATACAGATACACGCAGGTCGGCTCACAGGACGACGCGAGCCCCGAGGAGGCAGGCAATGGCATAGGGATCTCGCCGCTCGTGGCCGTCGAGCTGAGGCGCATTCAGGAGGAGCTGCTGACGCTCAAGAGCCACGCATCCGACCTGAACATTGAGGAGGTTGGCACCGAGAGCGAGGAGCCGTCCCCCTCACCCAGACCGGCGGCTGCCTCTGACGCCACGTCGAGCACGGGGGCGGCATCCACAGCGGCCACAGCAGCCACAGCAGCGCACCAGCACCAGCAGCCGCACCAGCCGCCTCAGCGCGCCAAGCGGAAGACCTCTCCCACCCCCACCCCTTTGGGCCACGAGTCCCCCCACGCAGTAGCACTGAGTGGCGACGAGGGCCCCTCTGCTGGCGTGACGGCCGTGAGACTGCCACCATCAGACAACGGGGTGCTCAGCGGCAGTGACGACACGTCGCCAAGATATAGGGGGGAGCGAGCATCTGCAGGCAGCACCAGGTGTTTCGGGCGGCGAGGTCAGAGGGGAGAGGCGGGTGGGAGCGGCGTCGGCGGCCGGGAGCGTGTGCCCAGCGGGCAGGTGGAGGAGAGGGTGCGGATGCGCGAGGTGTGGAGCGCCAAATATCGGAGGCCGCTCTTCGTGGCCATCGCACTCAACGCTCTGCAACAGGTGAGTGAAGTGAGTGGACATCCCTTTCATGTATGTACGTCGTCCTGTCATCTATCTGATATGTGTGTGGGCAGCTTTCCGGCATCAACGCGATAGTCTATTACGCCCCCGAGGTGTTCAACAGGGTGGGGTTCGACAAGACGACCAGCGTTCGAGTGACGGCCGTCGTGGCCTCCTTCCAGCTGGTGATGCTCTACCTGGTCGTCAAACTCATCGACAGAGTCGGCCGCAAACCCCTAGCATACCTAGGGCTCACAGGCATGTCAGTCAGCCTGCTCCTCATCGCACTCGCATTCGCCATCGAGCCACCCCTCAACCCCCCGCACGGGCCGCACCCGCACCCACTCACCTCGGTCCACCTGCACACCAACATGACGGCCATCGTGCCGACTGAGAACGGCACTTTTTCGTCGGGGCTGAAAGGGCTGCCGCCACTGCGGGTCGGTGACCTTGAGATGCTGGCGGGGGTCGGCAATGGGACAGGGAAGGAGAGCGATGGTGATGGTCTTGGGTATGAGGGAGGTCTGCTTGGGGCGGTGGGTGAGTTTGTGGGTGCGTCGGCTCTGGCGGTGGTGGGGGTGCTGTCGATGAAACTCTTCTTCTCGCTGTCACTGGGTGAGCGACAGGGTGGGGGGTGGGGGAAGGGTGGGTGAGGGGATGGCTGACATGTGAGCCTCCCTGTGTTGTGTGGTGTTGTGTCGGTATTGTATTGTGTTGTGTGCAGGTCCTTTGCCGTACATCATAACAACGGAGCTCTTTCCCAGCCGCGTGCGGGCAGCTGGAGGTGAGCAAGACAAGACCACACCGCATACCATCTATCTTTGTGGCCTGCGTCTCTCTGCCCACTGGTTTTGTCTGTATGTATTTGTCTGCATGTAATGTGTGTGTTAGTGTCGTCGGCGTGGGTGTTCAACTGGCTGTTCAACTTCGTGGTGACGTTCGCCACCCCCAAGTGCCTGGAGGTGGTGCCCTCCCTCACCTTCGTCTCATTCGCCGTCTTCGCTCTCCTCTCACTGCCATTCATCATGCTATATCTGCCTGAGACAAAGGTAGGTCCGCACACACGTACACACACAGCTGTGGGGAGACAGACAGATTGGTTGGCCGTTTGTTCTCGCGCTGGCTGTGTGCAGGGCAAAACGTTAGAGGACCTCGGGAGAATGACGGCCAAGTCATGATGCATGGATGGATGGATGGATGGAATTGTGTGTGCCTGGACGGCGGTGTATGTGTGTGTGTGTGTGTGTGTGTGTCATGGTGTGTAGCATGTGTACAAAGAGAGCAATTCGGTGTGTCGGTGTCTGTCTGTCTCTGTGGTTGGGCCAGCCAGACATGATTGATGTATGTGTTGGATGCCTCCCTCTTTCGCGCGAGAGATGTAGAGTAAGGACATACATGTCTTTTGTGTGACTGGCTTGACTTGTGCTGTGCTGCCAGTGTGCTGCCAACGGATTGTTACACCAGCTACGACCACCTCACTCCCACCATACAGGCAGGTCTGCCCATTCCACATGCATGCAGGTTCGTATCTGTAAAGGATCGTTGAACCAGCCGCCCATCCACCCATCGCTCCTTTCACCATCCACACACACGTCCATGAATGGTGGATTCGATGCATCCTACCATCCGGTCAGCCGCGCAACTTATGGACAAGGCAGCCAGGCACCCATGCAGCGAACGAATCCATCTGTGTTGTGTTGTTGTGTATGTGTGAC